TGTGGCCTCTCCCGTTGCGGAGCACAGGCTCCGGACACGCAGGCCCAGCGGCCATGGCTCACGGGCCCAGCCGCTCCGCGTCATGTGGGATCCTCCCGGACTGGGGCACGAACCCGTGTCCCCTGCATCGGCAGGCAGACTCTCAACCACTGCGCCACCAGGGAAGCCCTCAACTAATATTTTTAAGAACTGATTCTGTACCAGGTGTATGCTAGATGCTGGGGATACAATAGTGAATAGGAAATCCGTAATTCTAATGGGAGAAGTGAGCTGCAAAAAAAGTACATAACTGAACAAATAAATAGTAACTTTTCCGATATCAGAAAATGACAGGGCAATCAGTTCTGAGAAGCTGACCTTTGACTCGAGATCTGAAAAGTGAGAAGTTAGGGATGGGAAGAGATGGGGGATGAGCATTGTGTTGTGACCATTTACTTGGTTGTTCCTCATTTCCACCCAGCCCTCCCTCCTCACTCAATCCCCACTGAACTGACCTCTGAGGTCTGTGAACCTTTCTGTCCCTATGACCGAGCACAGGCCAGGTGTGTCACACCACAGTTCCATATGCTGGCAGTGCCGCATGTTGGAATTGCCAGGTGCCTGGGCCCATGATTCTGACCTAGTAGATCTGATGTGCAGCGAGGACTGAGAGCCAGCTCTCAGCTTACTGTCTACTCCTCACTTACTATCTTGTGATACTGGGAAAGGTGTTCCATCATTCTGTGTCTCAGTTTCCTGATCTTTAAAATGGCACTACCAATAAGACTTTGTAAGGTTGCTGTGAGGATTAAATGAGATAATGCACCTAAAATTCTTAGCCCAATGCCTAGCACATGGGTAGTCAATAAGTATTGGAGAGAAATGCTCTAGGGTGAGTGCTCATGAGGTGTTTGTTGAGTAAATGAATGAATTAGGGAAAAATAAAATTTAATTCTTACTTCAGTAAATAGAACTATGGCAAAACAAAAACTGAATACCTTGATTTATCTTCAGTTGTCTTATTTACTGTTTGTTTCAATTTGGACAAGAAAGAAAAAAAAGGAAAATACCAAACACTAGTGATTTTAGCATCTGGAATTAGTAGCTGTTAACTCTTCATTTGCTTATCAAGCAGCCTCTGGAAACTCCATAGATCACTTGATTTACTGTTTTCTGGATAGTGCAGGGCTTTCACATTCTAGTCTCAAACCTCAGTAAAAATACGCTATCCACTAATGTGGGGTCATCCTGCATCTTCTGCTCCATCTTTTGAAATCACAGTTTGAGTACTTTGTATTGAAAGGAATTTCTTTTTGCACCTTCTACTTCTTTTATCATACAAGATCCTCAGGATATCATAACCAATGAAATTTATGACAATATCAGAGATAACAATAGTTTTCTTAGGTCAGGAACACCAATGGGATTAACCTGGGATATTGCTTATACTACACGAAAATATCACTCAGACCGTTCAGCAAACCTTTGCAGATTTCCCCTGCCCCGCCCCACCTCCTCGGAAAACTAAATGCCAAAATAGCATGTGCACAGATGAGAACATCAATGAACTGATAACATGAGGAACTTCCAGGAATTTCTTTTTTCTTCCTGTATAGCATTTTCACTGGAAAACACTGGGATCATGATTATTGTTTTTATAAACTTTAAGTATCTGGCTACCTCGGAGTGCTTTGATACTTGAATGCATGGGCATGAGTTTTCTAGTTTAAAAAAAAATTACTTAGGTAATTAGCAAAGAGATTTTGCCAAGTGTTTTTCTTCTGCGAGCTATAAGTAAGTCAGTCAGAAAGAGAAAAACAAGTATCGTATATTAACGCATATATGTGGAATCCAGAAAAATGGTACAAATGAACCAGCTTGCAAGGCAGAAATAGAGACACAGATGTAGAGAACAAACGTATGAACACCAAGTGGGGAAAGCGGGGATGGAGGCGGGGTGGGGCGGTGGGATGAATTGGGAGATTGGGATTGACATATATACACTGACATGTATAAAATAGATAACTAATAAGAACCTGCTGTATAAAAAAAATTAAAGTGAAAAAAGAGTTAATGTTTATTTACATAAGTAATTCACTGTGCTCTTATCAATTGGAAAATATCATCCGCTTTTAATGTCACAGAAATCAACTCATCCTATCTTAGGATGAGGAAATAATTAGCAAACAATTTATTATTCCTTTTTAACATTCTTGGCATTGTTTTCAGGGTTTTCATTTACAAACCAATGCACCGTAAACTTTTTCTGGCTGGAGGTATTGAAATCTGTTTTCCTGTGCTGCAAAGGTAGAATTGTGCACGTCTATTTAATCAGAAGTCTGTAGCGAAGAGCCAAATTCACCGACTGGTTGCTCTGACAGGGAGATGGGTTATGGAGCTTTGCAGTGATAAGTAGTACACATCATAGATGGTGGGCTAAGCATCTGCACGTCAGTAGTGGTACAGTGCTAAACAGTCAAGAAGACTAGAGATACTGTGGTAATGTTCAGATGACAGGCTTCATTTCATATGTTAATAGAAGGACGACTTTTGATATGGTGAGGAAATTCCCCATAAGAAATGCATTCCCTTTATTGTGCTCTAGCATAGCACCAATTAAATTCAGCTGTATGTGTAATGTACGTTTAATTCCTAGCGGTCCCAAGAAGGACTAACGTGAAAAATATTATATACTCTTACATTTTACAGATCATGAACAGATGGGAAAAAAAATGCCAATTGGTAAAGAAATTCATATGCAGTATAACACACCTCAAAATGGTGTTTACATGGTTTTTCTTTTTTAAAATTATTAAAGTTATCTTGGGTAAAATTTAATTACTGCTTAGGGTTTTCTGTAACGTTATATGTGTAATTCATTTTAATTTATGCCTTCTACAGATACGAATGTTTGGAAGTACAGGTAACCTTGTAATGAGTAAAACTGATAAAATGTTGTGTTCCAATGAAAGGGAAATTATGGCATGATTATTCACTTTGTGAAAGGGTTTGCATAGGCCAAGCTTTCCTAAAGCATTTTAAATTGAATTTCATTTACAAAACATTCATTTACAGACAACATTTCAGGAACAAATTTAGTGAGGAAATGAGAGAAATAGTCATAATGAGATAGAGAGATCCCTTACCCTGCTAACATTTATGCTTGCTTTCTTCCCCTTTGTCCCTCCCTGCAGCACTGATAGCCATTGGGCGATACAGCATGACAATAGAGACTGTGGATGTTGGATGGTGTAAGGAAATTACAGACCAAGGAGCCACCCTGATTGCACAGAGCAGCAAGTCTCTAAGATATTTGGGGCTGATGAGATGCGATAAAGTAAGAGTTGCCTATAAAGTTTCTTTTCTACATATCACTGTAGTTAATAGCTTGATATTATATTCTTCCTCTCTCCCTATATATATATGTTTGTATACACACACATGCATATACCATTACACTGTAAGTTGCCCAGTTTTCTAAACTTATCTGAGATTATTTTTGAATTTCTCCATTTAAAAATGAATTTCGTGCTTATGCAGAAAGAAAAAACAATCATACACAGGCTCAGCTTAGATTTTGGCTTCCTATCCATAAGTCTATGGACCACAATTAAAAATGTTTGCATGGCACACTGCAATGTGCACGGTCTAACAGTAAAATTTTGTTCTGGGTTCCAAGTTTCCTACAACAGTAAGATGGAAAGCACAGTGCCAAATTGTTTTGTCACAATCTGAAGTGTGCCATTTCAGTGCTCAACATCTATGTATTCTGGCCATTTGGGGGCAAGAAAGGGCCAGTGAGGGAATGTTATGTGGGAATCTGCCTCTCTCCACGTCTCAGGCGCCACTTCTCGCACATGATGAGAAACGATCCCAGAGGCCCCACGGAAGGTCAGTGGAGCTGGCCACAGACGTGAGCATGAGTTTGAGAAATTGTGCTGCATTTACTAAAGATGATCAAAACCTGAATTGATAACCAGGCATTAGAGAGGTGCCTTCCCCTTTGTCACTTTTATGCTTTCCCCTATAACACATCTAGGAAGTAATCATTTGTACTGTGAAGGGGAGAAAATAGAGGCTCAGGAAGACCAGGCACTGGCCCAAGGCCACTCCTCCAAGACTTTACCCCAGATCTTCAAGTCTGTGTCCAGTGCCTGTGGCCAACCTTGGGGGCTATCTCCAGGCAAGGGGATGCTTCCTTGGAAAAGACCCACCTCAGATACTTGCTCCGAAAGTGCCGGCATCATGTAACGATTTACACATGTGTGCTGCTTTTACAATTGGTGATTAGGGACAAATCTAGCAAATCCAGCAATGAGAGTGAATCTAAATATGTATGCCTCTCAAAGGACATGCATTTTCTAAATGTAGCAAATCTGGGGGCAAATAAGAAGAATGGCCCAAGATCTTTGTCATTTTTGTTAATTGACCTAGTTCTTTTCTCCATATGCTTTACAATCCCAACTTATACTAGGCCTTTGCCAGTTAGTTATGTTTAGAGAGATTTTATTATATATTCTAAGCCCAGCCTAGAAAGCTGACTGACTTTGTTACTAAGCAACAGCGGAGACCCAGGGGTTGCAAGTCTCCCTCAGATTTCACTACTAACTAACCTAACACTGCTACTAACCCTGTCACTTTAAAATGACTTCTTTTAAAACAGATAAAAGGGTCCACAGTAGGCAGAGTGTTCTAGAAACACTAAACAGTGACAGCAGAGCTTCTCAGCTTCACCAGAAGGAATTGCTACATGAGAACTACCTAAGCAAGGATGCCAAAATGTATGCATTCAAAATGTATCTTTGTAGCCACAACCATTCTCAGAAGTCACCATGTTTCTAGTCCATACTCCTTAGATTTGTTGAGATCAGCTTCACCTTCAGAGATGAATTGTAGAAATTTGTGTTCCAGTTAGTGCAGAAGATTATTCCAGACATATTTGCTGACCAGCGTTTTGCCAATTTTCAGTTAGATAATGGATCCTTTTCTACCTAAATGCAAATTAGTCCAAAATGGGATCAGAAGGCGGTTTTGATGAGCGATATTCCTGAGGGTTTTAGCCCTTTCCTCAGGTGGCCTCTGAATCCTTTCTCCAGCCAGCCTGCTGCTCTGAGAGCCCGTTGGCTCTCGCACCCAGCCATCCGACCACAGCCTGCTGCAGCATGGCCCAGCCCTGCCGTCTGGCATCCTCAGACTTAAGGCAGCTCAGGGCCAAACACAGGAAGTTCTGTGAGGACGGAAGAAGTTTCCAAACCACACACACAGTGCACGTAAAACCTTGCACTTAAAAGCCTGCGGGTTGATTTAGTTGGTTGGAGATCTAGCGTGATTAGCTCTTCTGTCTTTGATATTTGTATTACACTGTCCGTCTCCAGATTTTAAAGTTATCAAGATTCAAAGGAAGATATGAGTAGCAAAGAAAAGAAGTTAGTAGCTGAGGACATGGACTCTGGAGCCAGAGTTCAGGTTCAGATCTGGGCTCTGCACTTAGTTGTGTCATCTTGGGCAGTTATTTAACCTCTCTGTTTCGTCATTTACTATAAGGATGATAATCATGGAAATGCTACGAGCATTTAAATGAGTGAACATATATCAAGCCCTTAGAGTAAAGCTTGTTATATATAAAATGCTCAGTGTTAATGATTATTCTTATCATCATCATTATATTAACCTGTGTTTTGATATTTGAATTTCCAAATGAGAAAAAAACTGTATTGCCTGCCATTTTGAAAGGAAATTTTAAAAAAGAAGAAAGAAATTAACTCAGATCAAAGAAGATGTTGCCCTTTTACTTTTTTGTCACTTAAATTTAAGATTATTATTTTCTACTTAAATATATCAATAATTACATTTTCAACACACTTTACGAAGGAAAACTAACGCCTCTGTGGGACAGTATATTTGGAATCAACTTACTGATCCAGGCGTAATGCTGAAGAAAGATTTGCAGTGGGGGAAAAGGGTGAGTTGAAGATAAAACAATTCAAATAGGTAAGGAAACAAAAAGAAAGTATTAAGGAGAATAATGGAGATGTGGCTCCCTGGTGGTCTAGTGGCTAGGATAAGAAAAATAATGGAGAAAGAACAGAACAGAAACAGGAAACAGTGAAATTACGATTAGGATACAGAGACAAAGAGCCACTGTCTGTCTCAACGTGATCATCTGTGCCAACAAAGAATTAAAGAACAAAATTAATTTGGACCTATTACTCTTCTCCCTGTACCTCCTGCTAACCACTAAAAACTTGTTCATTTGAGTTCTCTTTCCCCTCTGCACACCAACTGGAGCTAAAGGAGGGGGCAAGAGACCTCACTGGTTTCCACAACTAGCCCCCTTGTCAGGCATGTTGCCAGTGGGATCCCTGCATTGGAGAGAGATGCGGTTTGTGATATCTGTGTGTCCCAGGGTTCGTGTCCTGCAATTCTGGGGTTCTCAGAAATATTGAAGGCTAATTATATTTTCTTTCATTTGGGGCCACTTATATTTGATTTGGAAGCTATACCAAACGTCTGCTTTTTTCCTCACTTGAGCTTCTGAAGAATTAAATAACAAAATGCATTGTATTTGTTGTAGGAAAAAAAGTGTTTTTCCTCTGTTTCTTTTTCTCCCATTTTCATTAGGTAGATAAAGAACAGATAAGAAACATTAAATGTATTCTTTGCAGATGAAAGCAACATGTATATAGATTATCAGTCAGGGTCTAAGCTAAACAGCAGTAAATTTGGCTGCAACACTGGTGACCCCTAGGAAGGAGTCCTCCAGCCGTTAGACAAATGCAGTGTTCCCTACACACTTGTAAAATTAGGAAGCGCATTAAGAAGCCCCTGTTTGAGTAGCTTTTCCAATTGCTGGATGGATAAGCACGTTAGAGGCATTACTTTCAGTTTTGAAGCCGAGGCCACTTAATCTCCTAAACTTTAGCGCATTGTAAGAACCCAGAGAAGAAAGCGCTGTGTGAGACGGCTTTGATGAATTGGGGTGAACTTATATTCTTAAAGACTGTTCAAAGGCTTACTTGACCTTGGGAATTAGAGTTGACCCAAAATCACCTATCAACTTAACACGCACTTATTTGGTGATTTAGTTAAAACTATTTGTATAACCAATGGGACTGTCTAATAAGAGCAGTATGTTTTTTCTGCTTTCCACAATTACAGACAGGCAGTGGCTTTGGTCATAGAAATCATTTTCACAACTTCAGTGAATTCTAGATTCTATACAGATCTGTTTCTTCTACTAATATGATATTTTTCTCACTTCTTACATGGCAGTTTGGATGGAGAACAAAACTAAAAAGGACAAAAAGAAAAAAAAATTCCTGGGAAAGCTGTAGGGCAAATGGAAATGCAATGTTCAGTGTTAATGAAAAATGTTTGGGGTAACAAGGTTGATGAAAAGGGAGGAAGCCCAGTGGCATGGTATTGGCTGAGAAACCAGACCTCACCAGAGGCAGCCTGGCTGGTTTGGGAAACCTCAGTGATAAAATGTCACGGTGGAAACCTCTGCAGCGAGTGTTCTATACAGAAGTTTGGAGACGGAGGGCCTGAATTATGAGCAGCAAATAGCATCATAAATGTAACAATTCTCAAATGCCAAACCCTTGTGAAAAGCAGTTGGATGAAGAAATGCTGGAGCTTTTAAAAGCTCCCTTTCACTTTCTACTTTTTTTTAAACTTCATGCAGAACTAATTTTATACACTGTTCGTTTGATTTGAAAATGCCAGCGTCTGGGGTATCATCAAAGAGCGTTATTGAGGGAGCCACTCTTGGCAAAGCCTTTTGCTTAAAATGCTCATTAGTTCTTATGTTTCTGCGGAGTTGTCAGTAGGAAGGAGAAAGGGTACCTCGATTTACCTAACTGCATTCCTCTCTGCCTTTGCCCAGAGCAGGTAGCAGCCCTTCCGCTGAGAAGCTACCTCTCCTTGGCCTGTAGAGGCGCCAGGAGGGCCGTGGGGGACACATTACTTAAGGAATAGACATAAATAGATTTTGAAAGGTCCACCCCAACGTCCTATGACCAAAGCCTCTTGGAATTTCTTTGATTTCTACTTGACATAAATTAGAATTACAGAGGCGTGAAGAGTCCACCCAGAAAAGATCAGAGAGGCTGCTGGGGAAGGAGAGCACCTCTGTGTGTTCCTATTGACTAGCCAGCTGCCTTCAGGCCAGGGGCCTCTGTGGAGGCTGACTATTATTGATCCACACCATGGAAATAATCAAATTAATTCTTTCTCATCAAACTACCACTGCCAAGACCTTCCTCCTCACCTGGCCTAATTCCTGAAGTACTTAGTGAAGGAATGAAACAGATGATTTTTTTTCCTAAGAAAAGATTT